CCAGGGAACCGCCACGGAGCCGGCTGCAAGCAGACGTGTGCCTGCCGGAACGGGGGGATCTGCCTGGCGACCGACGGCTCCTGCTTGTGTGGGCTCGGGTGGACGGGGAAGTTTTGCGAATTGGGTAATTCTGCATGTGCGGCTCCTATTCCCTCTTGCTACAAAGGTGCAATTGATCCGTCTGCCTTCCCCCACAACCTGGCTGCGGTCCAGGCTGCTGGAATTTCACTAGAGCCGCTGTGCTAAACAAAACAAAACCCACCTTCGTTTTCCAGCCACATTTGCAGGTCAAGAACGTGGAGGTGGGGGTTTCAGATGTTTGAGAGAGTGAGTTTTGATGCGGGGAAGTTAAAAACTCACTAGTCATGTCTCCTGACAATTTAGTTTGGTTTAGGTCCTGCTTTAGGCATTTGGTTGGCTGTGTTAAATGCACCTTTGGTCCGATCCAGTAGACCAAATTGTTTTTATTTATCGTAATTTCCTTGGGTGACTTTAAAAGTGCATTAGACAAATTATACGAGGACAGGGCTACCACTGGCTACTAGTCACGATGGCTATGCTCTACCTCCAATGTCTGAGGCTGCAAGCTTCTCAATACAGTGGTACCTCGGGTTACATATGCTTCAGGTTACATACGCTTCAGGTTACAGACTCCGCTAACCCAGAAATAGTGCTTCAGGTTAAGAACTTTGCTTCAGGAGGAGAACAGAAAATGTGCTCTGGTGGCGCGGCAGCAGCGGGAGGCCCCATTAGCTAAAGTGGTGCTTCAGGTTAAGCACAGTTTCAGGTTAAGAACGGACCTCCAGAACGAATTAAGTACTTAACCTGAGGTACCACTGTACTGGGAGTGGGGAGAAGGCTGTTGGACTCAGGCCCTGCTTTCAGGTTTCCCACTAGGACAGCGTATCTCAAACTGGGTCCCCAGTTGTTGGACTACGACTCCCATCATCCCTAGCTAACAGGACCTGCAGTCGTCATTATTATTATTATTATTAAATACCCCACCCATCTGGCTGGGTATATAGCACTACTTTAGGGTATTTACTTGGCCACTGTGAGAACAAGATGCTGGACTAGATGGGCCTTTGACCTGATCTAGCAGGTGCTCTTCTTACGTTCAAAAGGGAACGGTACCAGGTTATGGCCACCTGCCTTGAATGGGCTTTAAAAGAGAGTTGGGCAAACTCATTGAGGATATGGCTCTTGGGGGCTAACTAGCCACCATGACTACATTCCACCTTCATCGTCGGAGGTAGCAGTTCCTGAATGCCAGTTGCTTGAGATCACAAATGGGGAAAGAGATGTTGCACTCAGGTCTTGCTTGTGGGGTTCGGGTTGGACACTGTGAGAACAAGATGCTATACTAAGATGGGTGGTGGCGGGTCTGATCCAGCAGAGCTGCTCTTTTAAAAGAATGCTTTGTAACAATTCCGAAAGGGTATTCTAGAGAGAATCCATTCCAGTCTGCCTTGCATGCAGAAGGTCTAGGAGTCTCTCCTCCACATTGCCAGGTATCATGGAGAGCTGCTGCCAGTCAGTGTAGACAGTACTGAGCTAGATGGCTTCAAAGTCTGCATCAGCCAGCTTCCTTTTTTATGAGAGTAAAGGGGGGGGGGGTGTAAGAAAGCACATGACTGTTTTTCTCCTACCATTAGATATGTATGATGTCAGCCACAGATGTTCTCCAATTGGCATACTGTTTTCTTAATTGAGATCTTGTGTAATTTCCCCCGAGGAAAAAATTGTTTATGTTTGAAACAAGTCGGGATCTCTGGGAACCAGCTTGATAATAAATTTCCTCGATTTTGGCCTGCTTGAGCTTGAGCGAGACCAATTCTTTACGAGCAGTGTGATAAACTGAGACATGGTCTTCCCCCGCAGGATGTCCGCCAGGGAGATACGGAGCCAACTGTCAGCTGAGCTGCACCTGCCAAAATAACATGACCTGCGACCCCGTGTCGGGAGCCTGCCGCTGCGGGAAAGGGCACTATGGAGACCTTTGCCAACACAGTAAGTGTGGTCACTCCTGTTGCTCCGGAAATTTATTGCAGGTTTGGTAACGATCTGACCAGGTGGATTTAAGCCAAGCCTAAGGCCTGGTGCATTGTATCAGAGCTGCTCTTGTCTCCATAAATAGGGTGTGGCCGTAGCTCTGGGGGTTCAACCAGTCCCCAGTGGCCTCTCCATCTGATGTTTCAGCCAAGTCGGAAAAGCTAGTCATGATCTCAAACTACACTACAGGAGAAATTTCAGCTTGAACTTAGAAGCACTGGGGAGAAAGGGGTTGGTGATGCTGCCCTGGAAAATATTTGTGGATATCAATGCCCCCTGAAGTCCATCAGAGCAATGTTGCATCATCACATAGGGGTTTTGAGGAGGAGGAATCCCACCCTTAAATTTCAACCACTCCCCCTGTGTAGGACCTCAGTTTCACTGCCCAAAACTGTGGTGGCAAAATGGTGGCATTTGGGAGCTGGGGTGGCAAAAGAACCCACCCTTGTTTATTTTGATAACGGCAGGCTGAGCATGTGAAACTAACCGATGGACCTGAACGTTGGTGAGTTGGCGAAGGGCAATACAATGAATCTAAATCCAAGGGCTGTTTAGTGCTCTTTAGCTAAGTGGGTTGCCAGCTGCAACAAGCCAAATGGAATCCCCCGTCCCCAAATATCTTTTCGTCCTCTTTTCACGTGGATGTTTTTAATTTGCTTCCCAATGGCTTTCCGTTTCCCTTAGCTTGCCCAGCTGGTTTTCATGGAGTCGGTTGCCAGGAGCTGTGCGACTGTCAGAACGGAGCCACGTGTGACCCGACGACAGGGGAATGTGTGTGTCCCCCGGGTTTCTACGGCAACCAGTGTCAGAAAGGTATGGAACTTTCCGGAAAGGAAAAGTGGCTGCAGAAAGCAGGATTGAGTTCCCTTCATGTCAGCCAATGTTGAGGGGGAATTGCAGACCTGTTTGGGCAGCGTCTTTGCCCACCTGCATGGGGCAACTTTGACAGGATGTTGGGGAAAACCCACCTGCCAAAGTTGGGCTGTGGGAGAGAGAAATATCTGGCCCACTTGGCCAAAACGGTTCTCAACACCTGCTATATATACTATTTAGGAGGAGGGTGGGCCATTCCACCCAGGTCTGAGCCATTCCATCTGTTTCTTTGACTGTCAATGGGGTGGTACTCTCGTTTTAATTTTGATTTCCTTTGCTTGAAGGAGTGCTCTGGTTGAAAGGATATCTTTCTCTTGCCCTATGGCTGTAACAGTGATGTGGCAGAGATTTGGTTTGGTCCGCACTTTAGCACACTGCCTGAAGCAGTATTCAAAATGAAACTTGGGCTGTCCTTCGAAATTTGCATGCCTCTGAATTTTATGATGCTCTTCTTCAACTAAGCAAGGTGTATAAAACTCCGCGTTAGGAGAAAGTTTGTAAAGAAATGCGTGCATTAGTGAAAATGACATTATATTAGGGGAAGCTGCTTGCAAAGATGTGTATGTTTGAGGAAATGTATGCTGAAATTTGAATTAATTTTTGTGAGATTACATCAGAGGCAGTAAATTAAATAAATACATACATAACACCATAACATTAGAACAAATTGAAAGCAGCACAAGGTTGAACAGTATCATTAAAATCACTATTCAGAAACATTATGAAGGAAACCTATTTTCCCAAGAACCTATTAGGTTGGTTTATGTGTATTAAGATAATTTGATTACTATAGACCAGATTTTTTTGAACCATTCACATTTAGTAGGAGATACATACACCCCCTGCCCCAGTTTTTAGCTACAATAATCTTTACAGCAGTTAAATGGTTGATTACTTATGTCTTGCTCATCTTCCGGGATGACATCCTTCAGATAGCATAGCAGCAGTAATTTACGGTCTAAGGGTGTATAATATCCTTACATGTCAGAAACATGGGCCTGTACAGATTTCCAAATAGTTTGCTTTTGAAAGCAACTCCAAAAAATGTGTATGTTGTCTGCTCTATTTAAAACATCTGGGGGCCGGGGGGAAGGGAGCAGAAGGATTTTTTAAAAATAAATAATTGCAAACTGCTGCAGAAATATGGAGAACTGAGCATACAGTGGTACTTCAGGTTACCTACGCTTCAGGTTACCTACGCTTCAGGTTACAGACTCCGCTAACCCAGAAATAGTGCTTCAGGTTAAGAACTTTGCTTCAGGATGAGAACAGAAATCGGGCTCTGGCGGCGTGGCAGCAGCAGGAGGCCCCATTAGCTAAAGTGGTGCTTCAGGTTAAGAACAGTTTCAGGTTAAGTACGAATTAAGTACTTAACCTGAGGGTACCACTGTACTGGAAAGATGAGAAACGGGGGGGGGGGGGGGGAGAGAAATGAAACAGATTAATTTGCTTACCCTTAGTAACAATGGATATCTCTTTCGTGGCCACAGTGTGCGACGTGGGGACGTACGGAGACAAGTGTCAACATTGGTGTGACTGTGAGGGGAACGCTCCGTGTGAGGCGACCAGTGGCCACTGCCTCTGTCCTCCTGGGAAAACAGGTGCCAAGTGTGACGTGGGTGAGTGCATGTATCATCTTTACAAAGAAACAAGTCACGCCTTGTCAAGGGCAGGAGCGGGCTGGCTTCCATATGGCTGGGCCAGCAATGCAAATAGGCCCTTTTCAGTTGCAGCAAGTCAGAAACTCTGAGCTGTCTGTTAGTCCTTCACACCTGAATACTTCGCAGCCTGCAGGTAGGCAGGTGCACTAGGCGATCAGATACCTGCCGGCCTCTAGGAGCTTTTTGTACATGGAAGTGTACCTGGAAATTGCCCTTGGAGCCCCGAAGTTATATTAATCAGCAGCTTGCAGGAGTAACGAGCTGCTTTGGCTGTTGCAGCAGTGCTCACTTTTTTGCACTAGGAAGAGTGTGAAGGTAGGGAACTTAGGAAGCCACCTGTCTAGCTCAGTAGTGTCTGCACTGATTGGCAGTGGCACTCCAGAATTCCAGGCAGGAGCTTTCCCTGCATCTACCTGGAGCCACCAGGGATTGAACATGGGACCTTTTCTGCATGCAAAGCAGATGCTCTACCACTGAGCTATGGCCCTTTCGGTTGCTTTAAATAAATTTCTCGTTCATCATTCATGAGGTTCTCAGAGAGGCAGTGCCTGCCCCACCCCCTAAAATTTCTTCCATTTCTTTGGGACTGCGCAGCTTTAGCACTTCCTCTTTACCACTAGATGCTCCCAGGTTTAGTCTGTGTATCAGCTGGGATCATGGAAAGGATCATCTGGTCCAACCCCTTGCAATGCAGCTGTCCCATAAGGGAACTGAACCTGCAACCTTGGCGTTACCAGTATCATGCTCTAACCAACTGAGCTATCCAGGATTCCCCGCCACACCCAAGGTTAACAATCAGGTTCTGCCCCCTTAAGTGTCTTGCCGTGGACTGATGGAAACCTGCCAATCTTATGCTAAGGGGGTGGGAGCCAGCTTTGGCAAGTGGGTCAAACCCAACAGGGTCCTGGGTTCCTCACCTCTGCTATACAGGGCAGACCCTGTCGCTATGGGATTACCGCCTCTGCTAAGTCAAGGCCTCCCGGTCTCAGGACATTTTTATACTTTAAATGTGTGTGGCAGAATCTTCGCTCCCCCCGGGGTGAGATTCCTTCCTAGCATTGCAGCATCTGTGATTTGACTTGTTCTTCTTGCTAACCCAGATTGCCCACTGAAGAAATTCGGCCCCGATTGTGCTCTGACGTGCGAGTGCTCCATGTCCAACGCTTACTGCAATGCCCAGAACGGCCGCTGCGTTTGCCTTAACGGTTACATAGGGGCGATGTGTCGAGAAGGTAAGGAGGGCCCAAACTGGCCGCTGTCTTAAGAAATCCTGGATTTCTTTGAGTTTATCTATGTGCAGCAGCCTGCTTTGGCCTCCATCATTCCACTGTTCAGCTGCTAGTAGGGAAATGACCTGCTTCCATAATACTGTTCCTCAACCAGGTGAGGAAAATGAGGGAGAATCTTTACAGCTGACAATGTGGGTTTGTTTGTTTTTTACTTCCAGTGTGATGTGTGTGTGGTAATATATATAAGCGCATACTAGGGGAAAATGGCTGGTGTTGGTTGGAAGATACTAAAAGTATTGAGGTTTTGAAAGGTTTAAGTCTGGCAAATACAAAATGACATCCAATTATATCCAAACATAGGTGAAAATGTATTTCTTGATCTCAGGAACCATCATGCAATACTTGGTTACAATAACTTTAGAGGTGTCCAAAATCATAGTGAACAAACAACTTTCCAAAATATATAGGAGAGATATATAAAATCTCTCTCACACACGTAAATACCTATGTTAGGTGGTCATATTCAAGGAGATCATTTCCCCACCAGCACCTGCAGAATAAAGTAGTCAAGTCCAAAAAAGGCTGCAGCACTTGTACGTTATACAAATCCATCGTGGGTATACATACAGAGAGACTGAGAAAAGTTTGTGTAGGTATCTCTCTCTCTCTCTAATAATTGTACTGGTCTGTCGTTACACTGTAATGGTTGTCTGAGCACCTAGGGAGTGCAAAACACACATACTGAGCCGAGTTTTGAAAGCCAGCCCCTGTAGGAATCCACCTCAGACCCCAAATGGGAGAGGGAAGTGCTGCCATGATATGCTACGAGGCTTGCCCTCCCTCAATTTCTCTCTTGCTCACCTACTGGAAAAGGCTTCTCTTGGTACCAGAGATAGAAAAATTGGTGAGGTGTGTGTGTGTGTGTGTGTGTGTGTGAGAGAGAGAGAGAGAGAGAGAAGGGCTTTTTTTTCCAGGGGGAACTCAGTTCCGGCATTTCTCTGTGTAAAAGTAAGAAGAAAAAAAATTTCTGGAGAGGACACCAAATGTTGTCATCGCTCAGGGTGCCATATCACCAAAGTCCCTCCCTCCCATTGTTCTTTTCATGGGAAGCTATGGGAGGGAAGCTGAAGCAGGGAGATGGGGGTGTTTGTGTGCCCCATACATAGGGGTGACACTGCTGAGGAGAGGAGAGGAAAACACCCCCACTGAGAGCCACCTTCCATCAGGGATGCTTTTCAGCCAAGACAAGTGATGAATCAAGGCCGTGAACCAAGGGAGAGCATTGTTGGTTTCTCCCAAATAACCTGTGATCATTAGTCCATCTTAACCCAGTGCTTTTTTTCTGGGGGTACTCAAGGATACACAGTACCAGCACCCTTTTTTTCTAGAAGAAAAGCACTGTAGAGTGCAGGGGTAGTCAACCTTTTTATACCTACCGCCCACCAGTGCTTGATGGAAGGAGGATTCAGCTTGTGCTGTAGAACCCACTACTGGCCACCTAGAATCCTGAAACGCCCACTAGTGGGTGGTAGGGACCAGGCTGACAACCCCTGGTCTAGTGTCTATAGGCTTAGCTTTTCCTGGTTTTGTTTGGGTGGGTGGAAATCAGGATCTCCGGTTCAGATGTAATACTTTGTGCTTTCTTACCACGGTCATGGAAGGGAGGAGCTAACTGGGAGTACTCAGGCTTCATCCCAGTATGAATTTGGACCTAGGTCATGTCCACACTTATGAGTGTCGGACTAGGACCTGGGGCTTAAATCCCCACTAGGCCACAGGGATGCACACCACCCTGAACTCCTTGCAAAAAAAAAGGTGAGATAGAATTGTGATGAAATAAATTTGACAGATAGATGAAGAGACAGAGCAAAACTAACACATCTTCACTTTCAGGTGGCCTACCACAGCTGCTAACCCACACGAGACGACAACCGGAACAATGTGAGTTGTTTTATATATAGATATATATCTGGCTGATGTGGGGAGCAAGGGGCATCAGAACGTAGGATGCAGCCTTGGACCAAATTAGACCATGGGCCCACCTAGCTCCATAGGGTCTACAATTCAGTGATGGCCAAACTCAGCCCTCCAGCTGTTTTGGGACTACAATTCCCATCATCCCTGACCGCTGGTCCTGTTAGCTAGGGATCATGGGAGCTGTAGCCCAAAAAACAGCTGGAGGGCCAAGTTTGGCCATCACTGGTCTACATCAACCTTGGGTTCCTAGATGATGTTAGACTACAACACCCACCATCCCTGGCTAGCAGGGCCAGTGCTGAGGGATAATGGGAGTTGCGGTCCAGCAGCATCTGAAGACCTCAAGAAAGGCCTGGGTGATGTATTGATACACCACCCAGGACCAGTATGAGGGCAAGACTGCCGGGTGAAGCAGTCTGGTCCTCATTGTGCCAGCAGGCAGCTTCTTTAAATTGCTCCACTGAGGGGGTGGGCACGAATGTCTGTGCCTCTGGGGAGCAGTTTAACAAAAAGCCCACTATCCAGGAGCCGGACGCTTGATCAGCTGAACAGGCGGGCAGTTTAAGGAAGCCTGCTTCTTGGCTGATCAAGCCTCCACAGACCAGGTGGGGGCTTCATTCATCTGCTCGCTGAGGGGCAGGGGCAGCTGCACACCCCTCAGCAGAGCAGTATATATAAAGATGCCACCCACCTGTACAGTGGCAGTACCTGAGGCAACCGTGCAAACAGAGTGTTCATGCGGCTTACTCCCTGCTGCCTTCTCCCAGGAGAAAGAGGCTGCCCACCCGTGTGAAGGCGGAGGGAACCCTGTGAATGGAGCTCAGCAGGTTCCATGGGGCTTGGTCACCATTGGGCAGGCTGCGTCTTTCCTCCCCAGGAGTAAAGATGCAGCGCACCTGCTTGGACGAAAGCAGGCAGGTGTCTTTGAGGGAGCCCCCCCTCCGGCTCGCCTCAATATAGTAGCTTGTTCCCTCCACACGCTGGGTGCTGGGAACAAGCTGCATCAGCCCTGGCCTCCCACAAGCAAGCAAAGGGAGCGACCAGTCTCTTTCCTTCAAAGTGCCCAACTGGGAGGAAAAAGACCGGCTGCACCTTCCTGCCCCCAACCCTACCATCTGGCTTGTGTGAGCCAGAGCAATACGATAAAGGGGCTTCCTCAGCCAAAGGGCTGTTTCATCCTCCCCTAAGGTGGAAAGGAAGAAGCAGCCAGATACATTTCAGATTTCGTGATGTGTTAGTATACTGCAGTATTTAGCTGCTGATATATCACGATGCTGAAAACCAAACACCGCCCAGCCCTAGTACCTGGAGATGTCGGGGATTGAACCCGGGATCCTCCACATGCATGGCAGGGGCTCCACCACTGAACTATATAGCCCTGTTGCTGAGGCCATGCCTCTAACACATTATAATTTTCCTCTTACAGCTGCACAGTCTCGGACTTTTTACCGGGCTTCCTCCAGGGTGGTTGCCCCATCTGTGAAGCACTAGCTTCTGGACTCATCACTTCCAGCACAGACTTGGGCAGAAGCTGCAAGGGTTGGCTGCCAAGTATGGAACCAGCTCACCTGACTCACGCCAGCTTGCAGATTCGACCCCTCAAGAGCACAAGAAATCAAAGATTTTGCCCAGAGGAGCAGTCGTCCTGCACAGACTGAGTGAAAACAACTCAAAACAAGCACATATCCGCTTCAAACCAACAAGGCAGTGTGGAAAACCTCCCCCCCCCAAAAAAAAATCCTCCATCTCATCCACTCACAAAATCTGGAAACCATTTTTAAGCATAGCCATTTTGTCTCTGAGCTTCTGGACTTAAAAAGAGCAAAAGCTTGTAATTATGAGTTATTCTTGTTTGCCTGGAATTATTAATAGCAGGATTCTGTATTTATGTAAAGGTATTATTTATGGGCAGGTGTATCAAAAGCTGCATCTTCATACTTGCTACGCGAAAGGCCCTATGGGTCTGTGTAGCCCTGGAAAGTGTGGGAGACAGAGGGTGGAAGTGTGTTTGTTTGAAACACAACATCCCTGGCACTTGAGATAGAATGATCTCAACTGCCCATACTTAGCTAGCCAAGAGCTTGAGAGTGGCAAGCTGCTGGGAGGTGGGGGGGGGGGAGAGTATAGCTCCTTTTAACTCCCAGAAGGCCCCAGGTGCAAAAACATGGCACTACAAAGGTGCAGACTGTTTTGCTGCCTTTCCATGATCTGGCCTAAGGGATTTGTAGAAGAATCGTAGCCTGGCACCTCAGATGCACCAGCCAGCCTGAGATTATTTCACATTAAAAGTCTGTTGGGTTGCTTACTTAAGGTTGCCTTTTGCGTATACAAAGGAGCCATTAAGCCTGCAATCTAAAGCCTAAAGACATCAGACTTGGGGAAGGTTGTTTTAACTGCCTGGCTTTGCATAAGATGAATTGATGCCCACTGCTCCACCTTTCACCAACCTGGTGCTCTCCTGCTGTTTTGGATTACAACACCCATCACCCCCCACCAATATATCATCAGAGAGAGATTGCAAGAGGCAGGGGCTTGTGAAATGCTATAGGGGACATCTCTTTTG